AGGGCCTCGATGGACTGTGGTCGTGGGCGAACCTGACGGGTGCGGGAGGACTAAGCGGGGTGACGACTTCGTGGGTTGGTGCGCGACGACGGACTGTCCGCATTGGAGAGAGAGAGAGAGAGGAAGAGGGAGGTGAGGTTCATGGACGTGGTTTTGCTGTTTCAAGTTCTTTATCTTTTCTCCCTCCTGTCTCGTGTACATAAATTTTGATTTTGGCTCCGGGTGATTAGCCCGTTCTCTGTTTTCGGAATCTCGACTTGGGTTTTTGCTCACACTTGTCTTCGCGATTTCCATCTCAGATGCACTATGGGTGTATGTTGCCCAATGAATGGATGTATGGATCCCATGTTTGGTTGCTTGTCTTTCTACCGGATCCTTGCCTTTGCCTTTGTTTGCTGCCTTTGATGCACTCATGAGTAGGAATTTTGTGCAATCGGTAATCCCGTTCTCGTTTTTCCTCATCTTTTGATTGGACGGTGGTGCCTGTTGCATATTGCAAACTTGACATTTATGGAGTGATTAGACAGTCGGATGCCTGGCCCAGCGAACGCCGCGCAAGGACGTGTGTAAACGAGACTTGATCTGTGCATTTACACGTGCCCCCGTGTGTCGATTCGCCAATACAAGTGGCAGAAATACTGTCTGACTGAATGTGGCCATCCAGGGCCTGCGACGGAGCAATCATCCCGGGCGAACACGTGTGAGCGCGACTTGGTTCGCACCAGCCTGCACGTGCTCACACGCGGTGATCGCAATCACCACGGACCCGCCCTTAGGCAGCTCATAACTCCGCGATGACACATTGGCACGATCCTATAATTCAGACTCATCATACAACGTGGATTACTTCACCCCTTGGATAAAGGAAATCCTCCGACAGAGATACCCTTGCCTAACCGAGAACCGATTGTGTCCACGGGAATTTCGCGGAGCCACCACTAGCGACCCCCGGTGCTCTGATTTCCCCTCTCCGGACCATACCTACTAGTTCACCCACCCCGGATCCGTCGTTGTCTCCACTAGTTTCCCTCCCTTTCGCCTTCTTCTTCCATATCACCAACTCAGCGTCGTCCCGTGGCCGGCCATAGCCCCATACTGGCCCAGTATGCCCTGCGGAAACTGCTGACGACGCGGCGATCAGAGGACCCCGGAATCCCGGAGGCCCAACCCAAACGCGCGACGATCGGCGCCACGTGGCAACTCCCGACGGCCTGACTCATCGGAGCCCCACCTTCCCCGAAGGGACCCTCCCGCAAACCGCCGTCCCCGAAACCAATGGCTCGCCCCGCCCTGAGCGACCCATGTGTACCATCTGCCTTGTGACCAGAGGCGGTCCGCCCTCTCCGCCAAATTGCACTCGTGCCTCCGAAAAACCCTGCCACAGGAGATCTTAGTTCTGACCTGGGACTCTAGCCCCACTTTCCCAAAAATCCTTGGCACACCCCTTTTCGCACTTCCAGGCCCACATCCTACTCCGATCAGGAAGTTGCGCTGGGCGTGAGGTTGGGCATCACAGGCCGCCATAGCCCAGGCTCCGATGGACGTGCACTCCTCGCCAGGTCTATTAGATGCGCCGGTCCTGTTGTCGAACGCCATCATGGCGGGTGTGATGCCCAGGGAGTCGCCAAGGTGGTGGGTGAAAAGAAGAACGGGGGGGACATGGAGGGACCTTAGCATCGCCGACGATGCAACCGACGAGTACTTCCATGACAAACTGCGTATGATGCGGACGGTGTTCAATGAAATTGTGGCGGCGTGCAGTCCTTTCCTTCAACGCAGACTGACTCACTATCGGGAGCCTTTGCAGCCCGACCATATCGTGGCGTACGCATTCGTCTGGGGAGACTTTCGAAAGCAGCACTTCGTCGTTCGGCATAGGGAGGTCGTCGGACATCAAGGCTGTCAAAGACGTTACAAATGTCATTTTGGCCGCATTTCCGGGGAAGATTGCAATTCCAAGTGGTCGTCGTCTCTTACAAGTCATCCGAGCTTTCAGCGGTAAAGGTTTTCCGAATTGCCTAGGCGCCATCGTCTGCACCCACATTTATGTGGACAAGCCTGCCAACGCACCATCCGAAAACTACTTCGATCGAAAGCAGCAATTCTCTGTCGTGGCGCAAGTTGTCGTCGACCTGGACATGCGGGTTATCGACGTCTTTGTCGGTTATTCGAGGTGTGTCCACGACCAGCGCGTGCTGCGGAACTCCTCTCTCATCAGGCGAGCAGAGGCGGGTGAGATCTTCAACGCGGACCCGATCGTCCTCCCAAGAGGGGTGAACAGGGTACCAGTTGGGGGACAATGGTTACACCCCACGGACGTGGATTGTCGTTCCATATGGGGGCTCGGAGCAGGCGGGGGACGTCGCTCAGTTTGACACGCGGCAGAAGACCACGAGGGGGGTCGTCGAGAGAGCGTTTGGGTGCCTCAAGGGGATGTGGAGGTTGTTCCTTCGTCATCACAAGACAAACATGAACAACCTTCCGCAGCAATTCGTTGCTGTGTGCATCATCCACAACCTCCTGCTTGAGGCCGGGGTTGCTTTCGACGAGGGGGAGTCGAAAATATTTTTGCGGTAGACTATGCGAGTGCGATGTGGGTGTGAAGACATTGGTGGAAACGTTTCGTTACTAGTGAATTGTGTTTTGGGTTCGTCGGACTCGTTCTTGCACCTTTTCTTTCAATCCATTTCGCGCATGTTCTTTTGATCTCTTTGAGCACTGTTTCTCACAATGGCGGATTGTCAGTCATGATGCTTGGTCCCTTTTGAAACGATCAATTATGTTTGCTGCCCTGAGGTTGTCGATCTGCTGTGCGTACGTGTTCTTGTTATTTACCAAACGAATCCTATCATCTCGTGTTTTGGTGTACACATGCTTTTCGTGACGTCTTTGGCAGGAGTTAATGGATATAGCAAGAAAACATGTAAAAGAGCGAAGACATAAAAAGCACATAACGATTACAATGAATACCGAAAGCGAGATAAAGAGAGCAAGACAGCAGGCCCTAACTCTGACAATCACTTGTACTGCCATATCCAGTGGCAACAAAAAAAACGACAAGAAAAAATCTACAAACCATTGCAAGACATCAACATGAATATGATAAACCGTGTTTTACCGGAAAACATGGTGAAGTTGAATGCGAAAACAACATTCA